TTTTTTTTTTTTTTTTTTTTTTTTTAAATGAAGGTGTTTATTATTAAGGGGAAAACAAAAATCCAATCCTACATGTGGAAAAATAACTGGTTGGGCCACCCTAGGCAGCAACAACTGCAATTAGGTGTTTGATAAGTGTCAATGAGTTTTTTTACAGTGCTGTAGAGAATTTTTGCAGAATTGTTGTAATTCAGCCACATTGGAGAGTTTTTGAGCATGAAATGCCTTTTTAAGGTCATGCCCGGTATTTTTTAAACCATTCAGAGTTGGACTTGGTTTGTTTTGGATCTTTGTCCTGCTGCAGAAAACAAGTGCGCTTCAGCTTGAGGTCACGAACACATGGCCAGACATTGTCCTTCGGGATGTTTTTGTAGACAGCAGACTACAGCAAGTCTTACAGGTCCTGAGGTGGCAAAACAGCCCCAGACCATCACACTACCACCACCATATTTTACTGTTGATATGATGTTCCTTTTCTGAAATGCTCTTACTTTTATGCCAGATATAATGGTACACACACCTTCCAAAAAGTTCAACTTTTGTCTTGTCAGTCCAGAGTTATTTTCCCAAGTCTTGGCGATAATCAAGATGTTTTCTGGCAGGCAATCACTTTTTCACACCACTGTAACACAATTTTTTTTTGTTGATTTTGTTTTAGCTTTAATGAGGCAATTCATCAATTACACTTTGCTCTACTTGAGCCTCCTTTTTATTTGTTTTCTTGCTTTTTTGAGATTAAAATGGTCAGTTTATTAACTATTATTGGCATTCCTCTTGTGCCTTTGTCTCACCTCAGCAGTATTGCTTGTAATTTCACTAAAGGACCCACTGGGAAATGAGAATCCCATCAATGCCTGGATATACAGTTTATTGACTTGCTTTGATCGACTTGCTCTCGACATGTCTGCCTCTTTTTCCCTCTCAATTGCCCCATATCTCTGCGCGTCTGTGGATGCAACCATCAAAATGAAAAGGCAAGTTATATTTCTTGAAGACAGAGATTATTTTATGGTCAATTGTACCAGTCTCTGTTAGCTAGAATTTGTGATAGAGGTACCCCTGTCTGTGTAGTTTGACATATGCAACCTACATATTCTACCAGCCAGC